CTTCTTTTGATGCAGCCCAGGATAGGATTGGTTTTCTAGGCGGCAAGTACACATTAACTGCTCATGTCCAGCCTCTAATCCACCAGCACTCCTAAATCCTTCTCGGCTGGACTGCTCTCAATCTGTTCATCCCCCAGCCCAGGGGTTGCCCTGACCCAGGTGCAGCACCTTGCACTTGGTCTTATTAAACCTTATGAGATTCCCATGGGCCTACTTTGTTAGCTTGTCCAGGTCACTCTGGATGGCATCCCATCCTTCAGGTGTGTCAACTGCACCACACAGCTTGGTGTCATCAGCAAATTTGCTGAAGGTGCACTCAATCCCTTCGTCTTTGTCATTAATGAAGACATTAAATAATATTTGTCCAAATATGGATCTCTGAGGGACACCACCTGTCACTGATGTCCATCAGGACTCTGATCTGTTGACCACTTCCCTATAGATTCCTTTACCCTGGTCTCCTGGGTCAGAGATCCCTGATATGATTCTAAGCTTGACACGACCTAGTAACGTGTGCTTGCAGCCCAGAAAACCAACCATATCCTGGGCTGCATCAAAAGAAGTGTGACCAGCAGTTTGAAGGAGGTGATTCTCCCCTTCTGCTTGGCTCTTATGAGACCCTACCTGGCGTACTGTGACCTGCTCTGGGACCCCCAACATAAGAAGACATCGTCCAGTTGGACCAGGTCCAGAGGAGGCCCACCAAGTTTATTAGAGGGCTGGAGCACCTCTCCTATGAGGAAAGGCTGAGAGTTGGAGTTGTTCATCCTGGAAAGGAGAAGGCTCTGGGAAGACCTTATAGCAGCCTTCCACTACCTAAAGGGGCTACAAGAGAGCTGGAGAGGGACTTTTTACAAGGACATGTAGTGATAGGACAAGGGGGAATGGCTTTAAACTGAAAGAGAGTAGGTTTAGATTAGATATCAGGAAGAAATTCTTTATTGTGAGGGTGTTGAGGCACTGGAACAGGTTGCCCAGAGAAGTTGTGGATATCCCATCCCTGGAGGTGTCCAAGACCAGACTGGGTGGAGCTCTGAGCAACCTGGTTTAGTGGAAGGTGTCCCTGCCCACAGCAGGGGGGTTGGAACTAGATGACATTTAAGTCCTTTCCAACCCAAACCATTCTGTGATTCTATGAATATTTTCTACAGTTTTCTTGCTTTGTTTTGAAAATAACAAGCAGGCAGTTTCACTACTGCTAAGTCCAAGCACTGCTGTGATTTTGAACACTGACATTATAGTGTTTTTTTCTTTTTTCCCTAAAGTAATGTCATTAAACATAAACAAATTAGCTGGCAGACGCAGAAGGGATTTCAGGTGAGGAATAGTCTAGTGGCCCCTTCTGACACGCCTGACCATGTCTTTTCATTAAATTTTTGAGGTAAATCACTTTGGGTTTTGGTACCTTTTGGGTACAGAAATGCCTGAAGAGGTGTATGGTCAACCCCTTACCATGAGACTAGCACTAATATTTCTTCTGGTAACTCTGTCAGGATTTCAGGTTGCAAACCTTACTGTCAACACTGCCTCTCATGCTTTATTCTCTTCAAGGCAGCAGAAATGTCAAGTCTTGCACTGTCAGAAACCATGTTGTAGGGGCTGAAGGTTGAGGAGAAGAAAGAGGGGGAAGAGCAGAGAAACCAGATCTGTGCTGCTGGTTTCCCATTGCAGCTCTGGGTAGGTAAACATTTGCATTTCAAGAGCCTGAAGCCTCTTCAGGGATAATTCATCAAGGGCTTTTCCTTGTCAGCATCCCAGTCAAGGTAGGAACATGCTTCTTACTGGGATACACTACCAGTTGCCATTTGAAACTAAATAATTTTGGAAATACAGTATCTCCTGTGTGTTTTATAACCACTCAAGAGAAAAATAACTGAACTATAACCAGCTATCTTCACTTCCTGAATTATTATGCATCATTGTTCACAGGTACAAGCAGTGAGTCTCTTCTGTAAGTCTCCTTACCTTCATTTCTCAGAAATCTCTTGGCCATACGGTGCATTTTTGGAGTGTAGTCTTGTCAGACAAATACAGCTAAGCAGGCTTTAACCTTTTCCAGGTCTTGGAATATTTGAGAGCAAGAAAGTAATGATGATATAATACCATACATGTAAAGCACATATGGAAACTATGATTAATAAACTTACATTGATCACAAAGCTAAAGTACATTGAAAAGAAGTGCTGAACTTCAAGAAAATAGAAGATAAACAGCTCACTGGCCTCTGACAACAAGTTTGTGTGGGGAGACTACAAAGCTTCCCAGAGTTCAATTAAGCAATATGGACTATGATTCAGCAATGCTGTGTATTGAGTTTGCATGGCAAGGTTTTGGTAGTGGGGGGAGCTACAGGGGTGGCTTAAGTTGGGATTTGAATAGAATATGCCAAATCTGCAGCTGTATGATTCAGCGTTCTGGATGCAAAAAAAAAATTTGTATATACATTATAATGTATTATATACCAAATCAGGTTTGGGTAGAACAGAGATAATTCTGGAACTAAAATCCAAGGTCAGTCCAATGATGTATAGCATTAACAGCATGGAAGTAACTACTGGAAGTATGACGGAAGTGGAGCTATTTCTTTCTGCAGACTTAAAAGTGCAATGCCACTAAACACAGGACTTATCAGACAGCAGACAGGGCACACCCAGTGGCATCTGCCAAATGAGTGGAAAAATCTTGAAGTTTTCTCTTTGCTCCCTCCTTTTCTGGTGGACAATGGATTGGAGGATTACCCCCTTAGCAAAGTGACACCCTAAGTGTAATTATTGGAAACACAGCTTGCCATACCATTCCCTCTTCATGATATATTAAGAAATGACTCTGCATTCCACCAGGTTGCGTAGCATCACACCACTGATGTGTTATCAGCAGATGTTTTCTTTAACACATTGTACTGCAGTTCAGTGTATGAATACACACTTTTCAGTGATGGTACTTAGGAGATGTACCAGAGAAGACAGTGAGGCAGAGTTATCGAGAACCCTAAGGCTATGTTGAGAATAAAGGTTGAAAGAAGTCATTTTTTTCCAAACTATAGCATACTTTTCCATTAGAAAGAGATTAGCCAAGCCTATATTTGTTTCACACAGATAGAGCTTCAGACTCCTAGTATACTCATCCAGAACTATGCACCTCAAAATTTGATCAAGGTTTTTTCCTAGTAGGCAAAATCCCAATCAGATCATCTGACACCAGGAACAGTGAGGTGACTCCTAATCCAAAATTATGAATAAAAGGCAAAAGCATTCCCTCTTAAAATCTAAAACTGTAAGTGGTAAAATGCAACAGAGCTATGTAGCAGCAACTGTACAATAGAAGAGACTAATAGAAGAGTGTCATGAAGAGACTGAAGAGCATTTTTTCAGAGGAAGGATGACATCAAATGTTTTGAGGGCATAAGTTTTATCCATTTGCTCTATAATTTTTTATAATGCAATTAAATGCAGCCAATTTACTTCTGGCACAACAAAAAATTAGATAGCATTAGGAAAGTGCAGTGTTGAAGAGGCTCTGAATGACAAAGCATCTGCCTCAGTAGTTCTCCCTAGGAGACAATAGTAGCAATAAAGATGCACAGGTCACAGTGGAGCTGATTAGCTGTGATGAGGCAGCCCTTTACCACAAACGGTCATGAAAAAAGAATCAAGATAAAAAGTCGACTAAAGCAACAATAGTTGAGAAAACAACAATAGAGACAAATGAAGTCCTAGCTGGACTGCTGAACCACACCTACAAGGCAAGGCTTCTACTAATTCCCCTTTCCAAGGTATTTTTCTCCCTTCTAACAATGGTTGGTTTCTGATATTTCTGCTTTCACCAACCCAGAACAAAAATATGTTACAAAATCATGTATCAATTGAGTTTAACAAACTATAGGGTCCAGCAATAATTTTCTTTGTGCTTCATACCACTATTATGGCAACGGGGCTTTGTTCCCCTCTCTGTGTACACTGTGATCTATTGCATCAGAAACCGCATCGAGAAGTTATAATGCTGTCATTTCACTTGCAATATCTTCCTGTATTGCTGTCTTAAGGACAATAAACAGTGAGTCATAGCATCCTGTAGTTGGACAATAATGAGGCTGAGCACTCAGGTATTAGTCTTATTACCCATATCTTTTTAGTTATTGAAATATATATGTGCATATAAAGCCTAGGTCCTGAAAAATTCTCTAGCCAAGAGAAAAGTCTCGTTGCCGAAAGTTAGATACAATAGACACAGGCACATTCCTGCTCAGGGAGTCTTTGCCACTGAGAAGGAAAACGCCCTGAAATCTTGCTAGTTTGGTTTCGCGGTGGGGGACAGGGGTTTGCTGAGGAATAGAGGGAAACGCCGGACAGCCGCCCCGCAACCTGGCCGCCCCAGCCCCAGCCCCATTTTTTATCGGCACCGCGGACGCCCTTTGTCAACTCTGGGCTGCCATAGGGACCGCAGTGCGGACTGCGCCACACCCACCCGCCGCTGTCTCCTGCCGCAGCCCCTCCACCCAAACAATGGTGAGGATGGGGCTTGTCCCTTTTGCCCGCTGCCCGTTAGACGCTTCTGGGGATGGACAATGGGGCGCGGTACGCGCCTGGCCGACTGCGGATCTTTGTGCGGGCGGTAGCAGGGAGCCACCGCCGCCGCCGGACGCCGCACGAGGCCCGGCCCGCAGTCGCTGACCGTCGCGGGCGGCTTCCCGGCACTCGCACCCGACAGGGGGGTTCCAAGTCCGGTAGGGCGGGAGGGGTGTGCGCACAGTGCAGTAAAAGGAAGAAACGAGAGACCTAGACTTCGCAGGTTACGTGTCTGTGTCGTGCGTGTGTCGCCCCGATCATAAGCAAGGAGCGGCCGGGCCTCCGCCCCGCAAGCCGAACCTGGTCAACGCCCCCTCTCGACCCGCGTGGAAGGGGAAGAAAACGGGGAGCGGCTACCTGCCCCGCGAGGGGGAGGCATCGGTGGGGTGGGGGCTCCGGCGTTGCCTGCGTCGGCCCCGCTCCCCGCCGTCTCACCTCGTTCGATGTTGGCGATAGCCCGCCGGAGGTGTTCTTCGGTCACCAGCTCGCCGATGACCACCAGCAGGTAAAATTTGCTGTCGAGGAAGCGGTGCGAAAGGCTGGGCGAGAGGGAAGTGGGGTTGGAGATGCTGCAGGAGGCCTCTGAATCCACATCCACCACCACCAGGGTGGTCATCGCGAGCGCCTCACTCCGCCCCGCGGTTGCGGGGCTCTGGGGGGGGAGAAAGGCCGCTCCGCGGCAGGTCCGCAGGAGCGAAGGGGGACGGGGAGGCGGCACCGCTTTTATATGGAGACAGTGAAGGGCAGGGACCTGGCGAGGAGGAGGAGGAGGATCGGGAGGGAGGGAGGGAGTCGGCGCTTCTCCGTACCGTCACTTTTCCAGCGTGCACAGCTGATGTCATCTGCGGCAAATCCTCCCCGCGGCGGCCCCCGGAAGCAGGAAGGACGCGGCGGAGAGAACAATTCCCCGAGAGGCCACCGCGAGGGCGTCTTCGAGGTGCACCCCGACGTGCCACATGACCCCTGTACTCCCCCGACCGGGGCAGATCCCATGTCCCTCACATACACACCCTCTCCCTTTGCCCTCGTACTGTCTTACCCTGACTTACTGGACCCTCACTTCTGTCTTGGCCATCTCCCACTCCCCGAGGTTCTCCTAGGATCTCAGCCTTGAAGCATGGTGACCATGCCATGAGGTTCCAGCTGCACCCCGATGCTCAATGAAAAAAGCAACTCCACTGTGCAAGGCCAAGAGTCCAGTCTCCTTGCATCTTTCTGTGGCAGTGAAGCAAAATTTGAGCTGTATTTTCCCCTCTTCCAACTGGCAATCTAAATATTCTTTTTACCTTTTTGTTTGCTTGTTTTAAAGCAGTTCACTTAATAAGATACTACAAACATAGGTTTTCTGCACATCCATGGAGATATATATATGACTTATCCCAGAAAAGCACTGATTCTGGACAAGGTGCTTAAACCCCTTCTCTGAAGGCTCCAGAAGTTCAAATGGCTTTGTGTAACTAATTTTGACCAGGCTCGAGCAATTCCAGGTAGAACTGGTATCGGAAAACATCTACAGTTACCAAAACAAAGGCTTGATTTCTCTTTATTATCACGTAAAAGACATCTACTCCCCAATACTCACAGGCCCACTCGAGATAAATTCAATCACCCCCTAAAAGTGTTTTATCCTCCTCTAAAATGGAATAGAACAGTCTGAGATAAATCAACCTCTCTAAGATGTTCCTCTCACTTTACTGACACAAGTCAGGCACTGGTTTACACTAAGCATCTTGTTTATATGGCTAAAATGATGTGGGAGAAATCTCACTGTGACCTAGGAAAGGATATAAACTTTTATAGCCTTTTTTTTTTTTAAGATAACCTCTGGTCCCTGACTGAGAAGACACTAGTAGCAGTTCTGAAGGTATTAATGAGTACAGGTATTAATGACAAGGTATTAATGGGTACAGTGTTACTCTTTGGGTACCACCATTTGTCTGAGCCCAACTATGACTTTGGTGTTTCTTTGATGAACCTGGCAGTTTCCATGAGTTAGTGTAGATGTCTACCTAGAAATAATGTCTACTCCTCTGTGGCCATGCCCTATATGACTCCTGCCCTAACAGTCTGTATTCTAGTTAAAGATACCCTCTAGACTTGCCACATTGTGCCCACTTCTGGTTTCTCCCACTGCAATACACAGCTTTGGGATATGCCTTTATTTCAATCACCAATAAGAGCATCTGGTCTCTGGATTGTGGAAGGGGCTTTTCAAGGGGACTTGCTAACTGGTTGCAGAATAGATTGGTAGTGGTTCTTGGACATAAAGGTAAAACAATTATTTGCCTTACAAACACAGCAGGTTAAATGTATTACTCTGAGAAATGCATGCCAGTATACAAAATGAATGATTTGTTGCTTATTTTAAGAAAAAATGAATACATACATAACTGGAAAATTGCTTGTGGATTTGAAAAGGTGAAATGAATGTATTATGTCAAAGAAGAAAACACATATAGATAGGTAATACAGATATACTTGGAATACCCTGCTGAGACAGTCCTCTATTTTATATTGCTCTGTAAAAGAGTATAGAGCTAGAACATGGTATGATAAAAGGTGAACTGTTACAGCCAAACTATATTATGATGGGAGATGTTTCAAACATGTTAGGATCCGGTTATTAAAAGATGCCTCTACCCAAACTAAAGTTCAAACAAGACTATATGCAACTTCCCCTCAAGGCCCTTCACCATATTTGTTGCCCTCCTTTGGACACTCTCCAATAACTTAATATCTTTCTTATGTTGTAGTGACCAAAACTGCACACAATATTCAAGGTGAGACCGCATCACTTCCCTCAACTGGCTGGCAATGCTTTGCCTGATGCACCCCAGGAGACGGTTGGCCCTCCTGGCTGCCAGGGTACACTGATGACTCATATTTCAAGGAAATCAGGTTTGATAAGCAGGACTTTTCCTCTCATGAAGCAGTTCTGGCTATGACCAATGACAGTATTGTCTTTCAGGTGTTTTGCAATACTTCCCAGAATAATCTTCTCCATAACTTTACTAGGCACTGATGTGAGACTAACAGTCCAGTAGTTTCTTGGGTCCTTCTTCTTGTCCTTCTTGAAAATCTGGACATTTGCCAGCTTCTAGTCAGCTGGGACCTCTCTGGATTCCCAAGACTGCTCAAAAATCACCGAGAGAGGTTTTGCGATGACATCAACCAGCTCTTTAGAGATTCTTGGATGAATCCCATCAGGCCCTATAGATTTGTAGGTATCCATCTGGAGCAGCAGATCCCACATAATTTCAGGGTTGACTGGGAGTTGATCATTCTCGCAGTCAGGGCACTGAGACCCCCTTGGTCCATCACCCATGTTGAAGACAGTCAAAGAAAGCATTAAACACCTCAGCTGTGTCTCTGTCCCTGTTTGTGAGGTGACCATCCTCATCCTGTAATGGGCTGATGATATTTCTATATTGCCTATTGCAGCGAAGGTCCCTCACTCAGCACCGTTGGTGGCGAATTAATCCACAGGAGACAGACTTTGTCCAGGAAGAACTCTCTTGTAACTTTATTACTCCATTTCTATATACAGACTCTCTACTGACCCCAGGTCTGAGCTCTCCAACCAACAAGATGTTTCCTTATCTCCCCACATACCACACACACCCATGTGACTGCTTCCAACCACAGAGAACAATCATACTTCAAGCAGCTTTCCAGCTTGACCTTGTAATTTTTTTCACACACACACTAATCTTAGCTCTGGCTGGTTCAGGACCACAATATTTTTGCTTCAGTATTTTCTTCTTCTTTTATCATCCAGGTGGCTGGTGTTGTCCCTCCAGCCACTCCTACAGCCTATTGCCATTAATACATTTGAAAAAACTCTTTTCATTGTCCCTGTTCCAGGGAGGGTTCGGAGGGATGCCGAAAAGGGAACTAAAACACTGCTGAAACCTCAAAAAACCCAATATTTATTACAAAGAAGTGGCCAACAAAATGAGAAACTGAGAGACAGGAAAGGAGAGGAGGGAATTAAGACCTCAGTGAAAACCCCCACTCACGCAGGTGTGTTTTACGAGGTTGTCTTACCGACCCCAGAATGACTAGAATTCCCCAGAGCAGAGGCTGCATCCTTGGAGTGTCGGCAGGCTCACAAGATAGTGGGCATCCCTGCAAAAGGCAACGTTGTCCTTAGTGTGAAGCTTGAGAATCCTGAGCACAAGCCACCTGCATTTTTTTATCCAATTTGCCGGTGACGTCTACCTGGGCTGGTGTGGCCAGCACCACCCAGCCAGAGGCCTTCGGTCCCTTCCCCCGTTATGTAAGTGGTGCCCCTTCTGTGTACGTGTGTGTGCATTGGAACTTCCCCACGCCTGCGTGATATGCCTTGGGGGGTCTTCCCTAAATGAGTCTGGGAGCTTACTTCATCATCCTCCTCTTCCCTTTCTCCTTCAAATGCCCTTGGAGGGCCATCAACCAATAGTGAGATGGCAATTAATTTTAGTTTATGCAAAGTGCTACCTTCAAGGATGAAGTTCTCCTTTATCAGTGCCTGTTTTCTCACAACTTGGCAGGAAAAGAACAAACTCCCACAGGTGGCTGGGCCAAACACAGACCAACAGTAGCAGTATCTAATTAAGCACGGATACAGTCCTCCACATTTCTGCCCAACTTCAACTCCAGTTGAGCTTTGACCACATGAATTTTCTCCCTACAACAGCAAGCAGCATCTCTGTATTCTTCCCACGTCATGACTTTGCTTCCACTGGGCATACACCTTCCTTTTTTGCCTTATTTTCAAGAGAAGATCCCTACTTGGCCAAGCCAACCTTCTGTCTCGCCTTCCAGCATTTGGGAATGATTAAAAAGTGACCAGCACTGATGGACCTCAGCATCTGCAAAAACATTTTTCCAGGGGACCTTACTGACTAATTCCCTGAGCAACCTTAAGTCTGCTCTCCTCATGTCCAGAGTTGAGGTTTTGTTGGATTTTTTTTTCCTGTCATCAGAGATTTTAAACTCAATCGCTTCGTGGTTGCTGTGGCCAAGATGACCACCAATTTACCCTTCGCTCACAAGATCCTCTCTGTTGACAAGCAACAGGTCAAGGAGGACATCTTTCTGAGTCGCCTTCCTTAGGACCTGTTCCATAAAGTTGTCATCTGGGTTTTTTAGGCATCTTCTGGGCTGGGTTGTACCAGCTATGTGATGCTCCCAATTAATTTCTGGCAAGTTAAAGTCCCCCACGAGGACAAGGGCAGTTGACTTGGAAGTGTCCCTTAGTTCCTCAAAGAATAATTTGTCGGTGTCATCGTCCTGGCTGGGAGGTCTGTAGTACACTCCCACAATTATATCCGCATTATTTGTTTGCTCCTTGATTCTTACCCATAGGCTCTCAACTGTGCCAGTGGCAGCTGTGAACTACATACATTCTAACCCTTCTATTACATACAGTGCCACTGCAAGGGAAGATTACATGCAGGTACCCACAAAATACCAGGCAGTTGATACCTTGGAGTTTTGATGTTTTAATTTTTTTATTTTTGTAGACCTTAGAAGTAGTTATGTAGTAAATGTAGATTTTAGAGTAGCAGCATATTATCCCTTTACCCTTAACACACCAGCTCAAACCCCTGTTACCCATTCCCATATCAATTCCCTAAATTCCATAGCCTGTTTAGTCTCTTTTTCAAGGTAGAATTGTAGAAGAACACCCTAACCCTACGGAACAAGATATAGCCATAGACCCAACAACCTTCAGGCCTAGAATTCTGGAAGGCCTCCAAGGACATTACGTGCTCTGAGGAAGATGAAGATGAAGAAGAGGGGGTCCCAAAACACCCCCAGACACAATTCCCAAGA